TAGGGAGGAGTTTATCCTTCTATATTTCCTTCTCTTGGTTCCTTTAATCTAGATTGCTACTTAAGGAATGAAAAGAATCAAACAATAAAAACACCATAAGGAATAATATTTCCTTATTTGGAGCTTGGTGAGTATCTAAATGGGGAAATAAACATTATATTCAAGTTTAAATTTCTATGTAATTAATAAATATTATCTAGTATAACTGGTGTTACAACGTTAATTTAGGTATTACTATTTGATAGGCTATTTTAAAAGTAATGCTATTTAGCCCTAGAATTAATTTAGGTAAAACTAAGTGACATTAAAAGAAAGGACAATTAAATGAGTTATATAATTTTATCTTTAATTGAACATATCACGTAGTACTACCTAGGTATTATAGTGGTACTAGATGCATTATTTCTCAACTAAAATAAAATTAACCATAGTTTCATTTAATGTTACATAAACTAACTGTTGGGTTTTTTGATATCCAATAATCCGGGCGATGATTTAAAATAATTATCGGATTATTTATCGACACCATGGACTTGGCTCGACTCGGAGATGAACTACACTTTTGGATGGTTCAGGTTTGGGTTGGATGATTATTTGGTTAGTTGGACCATTTAGTGATTAATATGGAGTTGAATATTGGCCCATTAGTTTAGGTTAATTGGTAGCCCGCTTAGTGAACTTTAGGCCCAATTAGAGTGACCTAAACTAACCTATATATATGTATTTATCTCCCAGCAGTTTTTGGTGGAGTGTGTGTTGTAGCAATGGAGAGGAGAGTTGAGAAAAGAGAGGCAACCGAGAGAGAGAAAAGCCCTATGAGGTTGTGAGTGAGATTCAACCATTGTGATATCTTCGTCTTCCTCTCCATACCTTTGTGGATTGCTAACATAACCATCCTTCTCCTTTGTGGGGTTAGAGAGAAAGAGAGCAGTCCAAAGTGAAGGCGAAAGTCTCGGATCGAGTCTAGGTAAATCGGTGTTCGTTTGATTGTTTTATGAGCCCGAAATCAAGATTTATCAAGAGAATTCCGCTACAAATGGTATCAGAGCTTGTGTTATTAATAAATCTGTGATTTTTGGGGCTAAAAATGGGTTGGAAGTGGTCAGAAACGGATCTGGAAATTAGAGGCAGAAACTGTTCGATTTTTTCAATTTTCTGCCGGGTCTGTTTTGGCGTTTTCTGGTGAAACCAAAAGGAGTTTGGCAAAATGAACACCACCGATGGACTGTGCAGGCGGAGAAGAAGTTAGAAGGGTGACAGGTTGCTGACGCGTGGGCGACCGGCGCGACGCATGGGGAAGACGGCGATGGCACGTGAGGGCGCGTCCGTCTGATTCCGGCGAAGTGGTCTTCAGACAGAATCTTCCCCATGACGAGATGGACCCTGCAGTGTTTTCAAATTTCAGTTTGGAGCAATATAGTGAAAGTTGGACGATTTTGCCCTTGGACGTTCGGGTGTCGGGTGCTGTTTTCGTGTTGCTGTGGTTGCTGGTGACTTTAGGATGAACAGTAAATTCCTAAAGTGGTGAACTCGCATGTCTCGATATTACGAACCTTCAGACGTGGTCCGCTCGATATCATGTCTTTTACCTTTTATTATTGCAGTTAAAATTATTTGTTAATTATTTGCCTTAAATTTTTTGTGAATTTGCTGTCAATTTTTCTACATTATTAGAATTGCATGTGGCCTTAGGAAAGTTTACTGGACTATTCTATGTGAATTATGTTCATACTTTATTTGTGGTTATTATTTGATATTGGTGGTAAATGTAGGTTTAAGGTAAGTGCGAAAAATAACATATATTTTAACTGTAGTAAAATTTGGACATAGTTGAAAGAGATTGTCCTAAGATGATAATAAAAAGAAAGATGAAGATAGAGACAAGACGACTGTGACTTTAGGGTCTAGTAGTGATCCTAGTGAGGTTTATTGAGAGAATAAACATGGTTCTTACATTGCATCTGTATGTAATACTTTCTGTATGTATATGGTCACTTAATTCTGTTGCAATATTGATGTTACACTTTCAATATGTTTGATGTGTGTAATTGCATGAATTAGAGTGACTTATTATTTTGTGTAATATGTTTACATGCATAGTGGGTTAAATTTTGTGGCGTACTCTATTTGCTCTATGAGTGGTGTGAGAGCGTGGTAGGGAGAAGAAAGTTAGGCAACAGTTTCCCTTCTTTATCTTTGTGAGCCTGTGTGGTTTGTGAGATTATGTGAGGCAGCCATGTTAGGGTTATATTCTTCCTCTTTGTGAGCCTCCTTTGTGAGTGTTATGAAGTAACCAACTCTTTCTTCGATTCTCTTTGAGAGTGTCACCTTCACTATTTTCTTTGTGAATTTTTTGGGAGCATTGGTCAGTGGATTAACCTTTGTGGTCACCGAAAGGTGTTGCTTTGCTATAATGAGTTTGAGATGCATTAGCAGTGAATTGGATGTCTTTTGGTAAGGTGGAGTATAGATGCCTAGAGGTGCATTGGTGATATGCACGAGGGATGTAGAGTGTGATATTTGGATCACGAGTGGAGATGTGATCAAATGTTTAGAATCTTTTATCTGTGAAAAAGACCTTGTACAGGTGGAGTGTGAGAGAGTTACTTCTATCACTTCTGTAAGGTGGAGTCCCATTATCCACGTAGGTTGGGAGAAGTGATGTGGTGATAGAGGATTATCCCGAGAGTTTAGGATCTATTGTGACTTACCAGTTAGACATAAGTTAAGTGATTGGTTTAGTGAGCATTGTGGGCAATGAGAGGAGATATGTGTTGTCGAGGTGGGAGTAACACAGAATGGGATAGGATAAGCGTAGTAAGATCTTTCATGGGGTCACTTATGCATTTGTTGCATATGTGTTTGACCGTGTGCTGATTAACTAGGTGTTAATTTGTGGACTGTGTGAACATGATTTTGAAAGATCTGTGTGTTATCCTATATATATCTTCATCGCATGATTATTTGTTCACTGTGAATACTTGTTTCTATTTGGGTGTTTTTGACCTTAGCCCTGGTGAGTACATGGAGCAAGTATCGTATGTGTTTCAAGTTGGAAACACGAGGTAAGGTCTGTTATTCCAATTTTATTGGATTACCTTGATTGTGCAAGTATAAACTGTGTGTTTTGGTTGCTTGCAGATTATTGGGCATCAATGTGGAGATTGTTGGGTTTTTTGATACCCAATAATCCGGGCGATGATTTAAAATAGTTGTCGAATTATTTATCGACACCGTGGACTTGGCTCGACTCGGAGATGAACTACACTTTTGGATGGTTCGGGTTTGGGTTGGATGATTATTTGGTTAGTTGGACCATTTAGTGATTAATATGGAGTTGAATATTGGCTCATTAGTTTAGGTTAATTGGTAGCCCGCTTAGTGAACCCTAGGCCCAATTAGAGCGACCTAAACTAACATATATGTATTTATCTCCCAGCCGTTTTTGGTGGAGTGTGTGTGTTGTAGCAATGGAGAGAAGAGTTGAGAGAAGAGAGGCAACCGAGAGAGAGGGAAGTCATGTGAGGTTGTGAGTGAGATTCAACCATTGTGATATCTTCGTCTTCCTCTCCATACCTTTGTGGATTGCTAACATCACCACCATTCTCCTTTGTGGGGTTAGAGAGAAAGAGAGCAGTCCAAAGTGAAGGTGAAAGTCTCAGGTCGAGCCGAAGTAAACCGGTGTTCGTTTGATTTTTTCTGAGTTCGAAATCAAGATTTATTAAGGAATTTCCACTACACTAACAGTAGTTTTAAACTGGATTACTCTTTAATCATATGATGTCCAAAATAAATTCTTAGCTGCACTCTTTGAATAAATAATGTCCAATATAAGTTATTAAATGTCACTATCTGAATAAATAAATTCTGCCTTGGACTTTTCTTATAATTGAATTCAAAATTGGAGGAAATTAATAATTTTTTTAAAATGATTTGGACTTTGCATGTAGGGCTCATTTGACTTGATTTTTGTAAAGTTAAAAGTAACTTTTAAGAGTCAAAAATTGCTTTTCGATTCTTTTGATTAAAGTGTTTCTTTTATTTATAGTTTTTTAATTGACTTCTTCGAAAAATGTTTTTCGAAGAGAGAGATCTTTTAAAAAAATAGTTTTCAAAACCTACTTTTGAGACCTAAACCTATTTGTGTAACCGTTTGATCAATTTTAGATGTATTTGAACTACATTATTTTGAAAGAATATATTTTGAAATAATATATTTATAGAGAATGTGTGGTTGAAAAATAAGAAAAATTTTAAATTTAAGTATAACATTATTTTATTGAAAAATATTTGGTTAAAATGATATCAAATCATTGTTTAAAAATGTATTTTTTTTAATACGACTCAAACTAGGCCTTTAAAAAAGTAATTCTTTTACTTAGAATTTTTTTCAGAGAAAGCTAACTTTTGTAATTTTTCTCTAAAAACATTTTGAAAGGATAAAACTCTTTTAGAAATTAATTTCAAACATCAATTAAAATAACTTTCTTAAACTCCCTTTTACAAGAAACGAAAATAATAGTAGAAATCACTCTTTTATGAGAGTGAAAGCAAAAACAAATATCTACGACTCTCTAGCGACCGGTAATATAATGATAGCCTTAGATCATTTTCGTTGCATTTTAAGAAGAATAATGTTATTGATCATCGATGATGTAAAACATGGTTAGATGAGAATTACTTGATATTCAATGTTAAGTTTATTTAAATGCAAAAGTTAAAGTCACGTGATTTAGCCCATATTTGATTCCCATTACCTGAAAATGAAAATGAGGGGAATAGTATTTTTTGGAAAAATGAGTGATTGAAAAAGAAGAAAAAATTTTCGATTTACGTGTAATATTATTTTATGTAAGATTGTGTGGTTGAAAATAAGAGAAAGAAAAATGAAATGTAATGTAATTTAATTTAATAGGGATCCAACATGGGCTTATTTGATTAACCTATTAATTATGCTACATAAACATAATCATTTATCACAATTTTTTCAACCAAGTAAAAGGAAAATAAAAAATCTTCTCTTAGGATTTATGTAACTCCTTTAGCATTATTCTGTGGAAATTTTATTAACTTACTTCTCCCACAGCATCCGTTAGATCCATCCACTCTTTGTTGCTGGTTTTGATCAATTTCATAGTATAGGATTCACATACATGTATATACACGTATAAACAGTTGCAAATGGCGGAGGAGAGATCGAATGGCGGATTGGCGTCGGTGGACTCGATGGAGTTCCGGTGGGTGTATCATCAGGACGAGGAAGGGTCGGAAATTTACAACCACGGTAACCACGGCGGGGATTCGACGCTGCGTGATTCAGACGATGAGGATAATACGGGGCAGAGGCTGATTCGGACGGGTCCGAGGATTGATTCGTTCGATGTTGATGCTCTTGAAGTCCCTGGCGCTCAAAGGAATGATTATGAGGTGAGTATTTTGATCTTGATTCAGTTTGTTAGCTACAACGTGTTTTTTTCTTTTCTTTTCTTTCTTTCCTTTTTTTGGCCTATCTACAAGTATATTTCTAGATTTTATGAGTTTTAGTGGGTGCTTCTAGCAATTATATAGTAGTAGTAGTAGTACGAGAGTGCTGGAGCTTAGAACTATGAGAAAATTAGTATCTTGTTATGATGTTGGAGTGTGTAGCTAAAAGGAGTTACGAGCATGTTGAAAATAATAATAATAATAACATAATACAAACCTCTATTACTGGCATTATATGCCGTTGCTATTTACCCTTTCTTGCTCTGGCTCAGCATTTTGCTACCATTGTCACCCTGTAAAAGCCGCCATCATTACCTAAGCAATTGTGTATCTATGTTTACAGCTTAAGGACCTCCGGAACGAATCTCCTTCAATCTGTTGAATTGAAGCCCATTTGCTCAATACTTTTAATGTTGGCCAAGCTTAAACGGAGCAGATTGAACTGAGCTCTAAAAAGCAAGTCATAATATATAACTGCTGATCTTGGGTTCATAGATCTTGGCTGTGCGAAGCCCCCATCTCCCACCAGCCCAAAGCTCCAAATATAAGATATTGGTCAAATTCATATTTTTTGCTATAAAACTGTGGTAGAGTAGGCTTTTTTTCCATGCAATTACTAGACTTTTTTTTTTTTTTAAATAAATTGCTTGTAACTGATATTAATAACCGATTGCACTGTAATTGTTTGCTGAAGTTGGATGGTAATGCAACATATTTGCTTAATCAAATAACTTTTTAAGAGTAATCTTATTGCCCAAGATTAAGTTTACTTAAAGCAGCAGTTTTGAGCTTTATCAAGTGATCTGAAAATGTCCCTGGTGCACTCATGATTGATCAAAAAACACCATTTACTCAAGTCAAACGTGCACTTACATTACCTAATACACAAGTCATTTTCTTAGGGGTACTAGTACTTTTCTAATAACTTTTTTTCTGGCATAGTACTCCTACGTGCAGTTGAGATTATTTTCTACAGGCTTTTCCGTAATCCCTGCACTTCTCCTTTCCATCGTCTTGTCTTTTTTTGAATAATCTTTCCTAACCGATCACCAAACTCACCAGCCATTTATTCCAATTTCAGCATCAATGAAACTTGAGGCTTCATGTGAAATTTCCATATAGCTGCTCCCACATCATTTTGTTACCAACAGTGGTTTGTTTAAGATGGTAGATGGAAAAAATAAAATAAAAGGCTTGGAATACTTTTTTGTTAAATCGAATGCTTAGAACCAAATAAAAGAAACAAAAAACGAAAAAAGTTTCTGAAGAGCAATTTTCCTCCCATCAGTGCTGGATAGGTTTGTAAAATAGCCCCAACTAGAAAATTATACGTACTGTAGCACCTCAATAGAAGTATGTCCTGAGTAAGTGATAAAGATACCAAAACTTTCAGAAATCTTGATAAGTCAAAAGTAATCCTAGAAACACCAGTTAATAATCAACCTTAGAGCATTTGGAGCTTGATTGTAACCCTCATATCAATAAATAACTGATCCTATTTTGACTCCAGTATTCTCATAAATAGGTGGATGAATGAGAGGTGGACTTTCTGTTTGATTTACAGCTGGAAAGTTCATTCATCAAGAAGTCTAGACATTATTTATTGTTTGAATAGTTGCATTGTATAACTGCAATATGAACTTCTTGTTTGACATTTTCCCCATCATCGTCAAACTTAGGAGTGCCCCATTACCTGTGGCTAACTGAGCTACTGTTACAGCAAAATATATCTAGATATTAAACAGATTGACTTAGCAACTTTTTTTTTTTAATAACAATTAATAAATAAAAGCAGTGCTTTGTAGAAGTACCACTGCACTTGTGTTTGGCATATTCCCATATGACAAAAAATGCTGTGAGAGATTGGTGTCTTGATTTGAAAAATATAATGGCAGGATGTCACTTTGGGCAGGAGGATCATACTGACCTTTCAGACACTAGGGGTTGTCTTTGGTGATGTGGGGACCAGTCCATTGTATACCTTCAGTGTGATGTTCAGCAAGGCACCGGTTGAGGCAAACGAAGATGTTCTTGGTGCATTATCACTAGTTTTGTACACCTTAATTCTGATTCCACTTATCAAGTATGTCCTCATAGTTCTTTGGGCTAATGATGATGGTGAAGGTATGTTACTTTTAGGATTCTTTACAATGTCAATGTATATGATTATACTCGGCATGGCGTGTAATTCACTCAACAAATGAGGTTCAGTTTTCATAACCCAATTGTGCAGGTGGTACATTTGCTTTGTACTCTTTGATCTGTAGGCATGCTAAAGCTAGTCTTCTGCCCAACCAACTTCCATCAGATGCTCGCATATCTAGCTTCAGACTTAAGGTGCCATCACCAGAACTGGAGAGGTCTCTGAAAATAAAAGAAAGACTCGAGACTTCTCTGACGCTGAAAAAGCTTCTTCTGATGTTGGTTCTCGCTGGTACTTCCATGGTGATAGCCGATGGTGTTGTTACACCTGCAATGTCAGGTACTTATGGAAGATTCAGTTTAGTGCCTTATACCTTTGTTGGAGAACTTGATGCTTTTGACAGTCTGTAGATAAGAGGGAGTTTGGCTACTCTTAAGTATATTATGTTCCAACACTTGGTTGATAGCTTGAAGTTGATGTCAATCCTACTAATTTCTTTTGCAGTAATATCTGCTGTTAGTGGCTTAAAGATTGGAGTTTCTGGGGTAACACAAGGTAACTATTTCTATATAATTGATTATAACCAACAGCATAGGTATTTTGGACATAAGAGTAGGATTTTTGTTTGAATTGCTCAATTCTTTTGCTATTCATCAGATCTGAAGTTATTACAGTCTTTTTACACTAGTAAAACTGTAGATACTGGGATATAAATAATCTGATGATTAAATTACGTTTTGTGGATGGGTAACTCACATTAGGATAGGGTTTTCTAGAAATGCCAATGTTCTTTCTGTTATTACCTGTTGAATAAAAGCTAAATTTACTGATTAAAGACACATTTTCATTTTCAAGTCATCTTAGGAACTTAGCACATGCCAATTTTTCTGATGTAGCAAGTGATCGCTCTTAATCAAAAAAATGCTGCAATACTAGGAGAAGATTGGAGAAATTGCCTACTGAGGAAGTTAAGATGTTTGTCTGGAGCTATCATAAAACACATCCTTTATAGTACATCTGACGTAAGGGGACTTAAACTATGCTACTTAAGTATTTGTTTGGCTAGCCAGTCTGATTGCTGGCATGCTAATCATCTCAGCATAATACTTGAATAGATTTATACTCATTAATTTGGAAGATAATCACTGTGACTGTGAATTACAAATAAAATACCTAGTAGAAGATTTTTGGCAATAGAACATGTAATTTTACATTTACTTTGAAACTTGTTTGATTTTATCCATATTCATACTAGTTCTGACTTCAACGTGGCATAGAAAGTCAAGGTGATAATGAAGAGCTATTATTTCTTTGCACTGCAGAGCACGTGGTGATGATCTCGGTTGCATTTCTTATAATCTTGTTCAGTGTACAGAAATATGGAACAAGTAAAGTGGGGCTCATAGTGGGTCCTGCCTTGTTTATATGGTTTTGTTGTCTTGGGGGCATTGGCATATACAACCTTGTTAAGTACGATACACATGTCCTGAGGGCATTTAATCCAGTTCACATATACTATTTCTTCAAACGCAATTCTACCAGTGCTTGGTACTCCCTTGGGGGCTGTCTTCTTTGTGCAACAGGTAAACTTTGAAGTATGTAAACTAATGGATACCTTGAAAGGAAAATATGTATTAGAAGAATTCATTGAGTAGTTTTTTCCCCTCTCTTTGATGGATTCCATGTTATTCTTGGAGTTAAGCTTGCCTTTTGTGACTGTTGTAAAATTGAAGTTCATTATTCCAACTGCAAGTTTTATGACTTTCTATTTCTTGGGTTGGGTGATATTTTTCCTTCATATGTTTTTCTGTACAATTATCTCTTTCAAAACATTAGAGAAGTTTTTGATACTATATTAAATATTTATGTATATCAGGATGACCTTGAAGACCACAAAGAGGTGCCTATTAGAAATTAACTGCTTTCAATAATGTTAGGAAAATATTAAAAATCACTGGAGCTGTTTCTAAATGAACATTCTATTGCTCTACTTCAGCAACTTGATCTCCCTATACGAGCTTCTTGGCTGATAGGGTATTTGGTCCTTTCTTGGAACACAATTTTGTGGCTTCTGTTTTGTCCTTTAAGAGTAGCTTATTAACTTACAACCATGAACTCTTAGTGCTTGTCCATGATTGAGTTTTACATCATCAGTAATATGATACTCTTGGCTGTTTTCTTTGACTTATTCTGTTCGTTTTCGTTATTCTATATTACAGTTCTTATATATTTCTGATGATCAGTTCTGACTCAGGTTCTGAAGCAATGTTTGCAGATCTTTGCTATTTTTCCGTAAGATCAGTGCAGGTAAACCAGTTACCTGCATCAGACCTTTTTTTATTAAATATCTTACATTTTTTGCTTTTTCCTACTATCCTAATTTTTTCTTATGAAGACTTAATTTTGTTGTTGCAGCTTACCTTTGTGTTTCTTGTGTTACCTTGCCTTCTGTTGGGTTATCTGGGTCAAGCTGCTTACCTTATAGCGAACCATGGCAATACAACTCAAGCCTTCTTCTCATCTGTTCCAAGTAGATACATTTTTCTATTTCTCACCTTTAATATCCACACTCATTTGAAAATCATAGATATGTTTATAATGATTTTAAGTTTGAATGATAAGGTCAAAAATGTCTCAATTGTCTAGATACAAGTAACAGTAATTTCATTTTTCCTCATTCAAGATTGCAGCTTATACTATATTCTCATGTAGTTCGTAATATCAATTTGTGCATTTTAATCTGGACTTGAACTATTGATCCTAGAGAATTGTAAGCATAAAGAGGGATAAATTAACTGGGTCTAAATCCTGGATTTTAATTTTTAATTCTGCTACAGGTGGAGCTTTCTGGCCAGTGTTCCTTATTGCTAATGTAGCTGCATTGATTGCTAGTAGGGCTATGACTACAGCGACATTCTCTTGTATTAAACAATCAACGGCACTTGGTTGCTTTCCTCGCCTTAAGATCATTCATACCTCGCGGAAATTCATGGGTCAAATTTACATTCCAGTTATGAACTGGTTTCTGCTTGCTCTAACCCTGGTTTTAGTCTGCACTATTTCAAGTGTTTACGAGATTGGAAATGCTTATGGTAATTCTTTATCACTTATCTTTGAAGTTGGATCTATTACCAGTATACTTTTGTGTAGATTGCTTTTAGATTATCAAAGCTGACTCAAGTTGAGCTTAATAAATTGATAGAAACCTAAATGTGTTGAAGCTTAGATTGTTAAGTTAGCAATCCAATCTAAAAAGAACTTCCATTGATCAATTTATGAGCTGATGTTTGAGAAGCTTGATTTGTCTAAATCTGAAAGAGAATAGTCATTTTATGTTAGATTCATATTGGTTTCTGCCTGTGCAAGGTCCCAATTTTGAATTATCAGCACTTTTTATTGTAATAGAACCTTTGAATGCACAATGACAAGACCTTGCACTTCACTCGGAAGATTAAATCATTGATGCTTCCTAGTCCTACTTTTTTAGTTGACTGTAATAGATCTAACTACAACTCCATCTCATAATGAGCTGTTGGGAGTTCTAAATATGGGGAATGTTTAACATCAGTTTTATTTCCATAAAGTAGCTGTAATATAGCCAGTTGTTTTCTAGTTCTTGTTATTTTTGACTTCTTTCTAGTAAGTTCTTTTTGTGTTGTTTTTTGAACAGGCTTTTGTATATTCTGATTTTACATTGTTTGACAGGCATTGCTGAACTAGGAGTGATGATGATGAGTACAATCTTAGTAACTCTTGTAATGCTTCTCATATGGCAGATACGTATCCTTATAGTGCTGAGTTTCGCTATTATCTTCTTGGGGTTGGAGTTAACATTCTTTTCATCGGTTTTGTGGAGTGTGGGGGATGGTAGCTGGATCATACTGGTTTTCGCCATAGTTATTTTTTTAATAATGTATATCTGGAACTATGGGAGTAAGCTAAAGTATGAAACTGAGGTTGAGCAAAAGATGTCAATGGATTTGCTGCGAGAACTGGGTCCTAACCTAGGAACAGTAAGAGCTCCTGGCATTGGCTTGCTTTATAATGAGCTTGCGAAGGGAGTACCAGCTATATTTGGACATTTCCTTAGCACTCTGCCTGCTATGCATTCAATGATAATATTTGTGTGTATAAAATATGTTCCTGTTCCTGTTGTACCTCAAAGTGAAAGGTTTCTGTTCCGACGAGTCTGCCCCAAAAGCTACCACATATTTCGCTGTATTGCCAGGTAAAATATCCTGTAACTAGTGTATCCTCATTTTATATGAAGTCGTATCATTTTAGATTTCCTCCTAAAACTGGCATTTCCCTGATTCATCTTGAATGCAATTGTGCTGTGGATAAAGCAGTTTACATAAAAATTAAAATGGTGCATTATGCTGGTGGATCAAATAAGCATTTCAAACTCCTTTGTTTATGGAGAAAGCATCCGAAATAACTGAATTTTTTTATTTTGTTGCATGGGTATTTAAGATACTATTTCCTTGGCTTATTTCCACTATTAAGAAGAGTATGCTCCTCAACATGGGATGGGTTTATTGTGAACTTAAGCCATCTGGAGCCTTGCTTTGAAATTGGAAGATCTTCACATGAAGGTTGCACCTTAATACACAATTGCTCAGCAGTAATGTATTGAAAAAACAAAACTTGACCATTGCAAAATTTTAGATTCAGATCATTTGGTTAAATTCTTTTAATTATCATCAAAACGTTGCCCATTGACCATTTGAATAATGCATCTTATTACTGGGATGTTCTATTTGTAGAAATACAGTAGTTTTATTGCCAAAATATCCTGCCTCATCCTGACTGTGATGGCTCCCACAAAATGGTTTAACGGAGTCATTTATTAAATATCTATAACTTATTGTTAGACCATTACTTATGAAAACAAAACTCCCAACTTAAATTTGGGGTCATGCCATATAACATGCTACATCATTGGTTCGTATAAGACCAACTGCCTATTATCAATATTCACCTTTACAATAGGCATTTGGTCATGAACCTAATATTTTTCATCTATGTATTTTTGATTGTGTTGTCTAAGTACCTATTTTACCCCCCCCCCCCCCCCCCCCCAACATATTATTGAGCACTTAATGTTCTGTCCAACTCTTGCCACTAATAGATATGGTTACAAGGATGTCCGCAAAGAAAACCACCAGACTTTTGAGCAATTGCTGATTGAGAGTCTTGAGAAGTTCATTCGTAGGGAAGCTCAGGAAAGGTTGCTGGAGAGCGATGGTCACGAGGACTCAGATTCTGAAGAACATTCTTTTTCAAAGGATCTAATAGCTCCCTATCAGAGTGTGTATCCACTTGGCGTCCCTCTGCTGTCTGATTTTAAGGAAATGACCAATTCCTTTTCAGAAGCAAGCACTTCAGACGAGCAGTCTGAGACATCGTTACATGATGCAGAGCAAAGTCTCGAGAAGGAGTTGTCTTTCATACGCAAGGCCAAGGAATGTGGGGTAGTATATCTTCTGGGTCATGGGAATATTAGAGCAAGAAAGGATTCTTGGTTTATTAAGAAGCTTGTCATTAATTACTTCTATGCCTTCTTGAGAAAGAACTGTAGGAGGGGTGTCGCGAATTTGAGTGTTCCGCACTCGCAGTTGATGCAAGTGGGCATGACTTACATGGTCTAAAGTCGAGCTTTTATCGTAGAAGACTTGCATGGTCTGAGTCAAGCTTTTATCATAGAAGGCAGACTTCGTTTTAGCACCAATTCTGAACAGCGGCGTTTCGCTTCCAGCAGAATCAAGGGAACTAAATGGTATTTTTGCTATTCATACCGGTCACACTTGTGGATAATGTCCAAACCGTTGCAATGATCAGATTTATTTATATCTTCCTTGGGTTTTACATTAGCTGAATTTGGAGTTTCTTTTTTAATATCTGGGAAATTTTGTAGTTCTTAACCAGTGCTATTTCGTGGATTATCATGATTTGTAGAGGTTTGAAGTCTTTGTAATTACCATTTTCATATCAATGGGCTCTTTGATAGTGTAGTTCCTTTTCGAAGTAGTTTTCATGTTTATTTTTGCTTGGTAGTGGACTCTTCCATCTTAACAGTTACGCGCTGCTCGGGAGGAAAATCTGAGTTCATATTTTTTCGTTGAAACTCCTACGTATGCTGCAATTGAAAAGGAAAATTTTATGACTACTAATCCAGTGAAGTATAGTTCTCATTCTTGCAACATTTTGCCATCAAATACATCCACAAAATTCGCTAAAACTAGTAAAAAGAATTAGTTAAAATTATTCAAACAAGTTCAAATAATAGTGCCCCACTTTTCATCTTTCCAACTCGAAACAAATCCAAGTTAACTTACGTTACTAGAGAGAACAACATTAGCTAGAAAAATAATGGGTTCTATTTGAGCTTCTCGGGGCTCTTTAAAAGACTGGGATAACCAAATAGTCTCTTCCCACGCCCTCCAAAGAATTTGGGTTCGATTTATTCTGATGAATTGGTGATTTCCTCCTCCGTGTGGCATCATAAAAAAGTTGTATCCAGTAAACCTCACTCAGAAGCAAGTTAGTGGTTCCATAATTTCGCAAACAGGTTTCATCATCTGGAAGCTGTATATGGGTGCTGCAATCTCTTATTTTCTTCCCTGATATCATCATCGTCTCTAGGTGGTTTAATGTATAATGATGATTTGAAAATTTCTCTCTGTTTTGCTGCAAACTTGAATCTTAGAAGCAAAGAGTTTGTCATCACACCAATAGAACTAAACCCCATAAGGGCACCCGCAATTGAAGGAGATAGCATGGTCCCAGTCACAGGTAGCAACGTTCCAGCTGCTATTGGAATTCCTACCTGCAATGAATGAAGAAAAGTAGGTTCAAATACTAATATGTGCAAGTAAAATAGATTGCTGAATTGGAAGGGTACAGTTATCCCAAGAGGATTTTTCTTGGACGTACTGTTAGTAAATTATTCATGCATATATTAAAAAGAAAACATGAAAGAGAAAATAAGGGAGCGAAAAACTAGTATCAAAGACGGCTATTTTAGGCTGAGTGAGTGAATAAAAAGGCATTCAATAACCAACGCAAAGAGATGGCACAAGCCTGAATACTGTATAGACAACGGACAGGAATAGAAAGAATCAGAAAAGTAACCAAGGACATCCATTTTATCGTTTTTTATCTCAATCCAATTGAATGATCAGTACCAGTATCATTATATACCATGATTTGTAATCAGGAAAGAAAATAAAATACTATGATTTTGTTAAAGAAAATAAATTGCAAATGCAATCAACTTACAATGTTGTATGCGAAAGCCCACCAGAGATTTTGCTTGACAGTCTTCATGGTCAGTCTGCTCAGCTCCAGAGCATCAAGTAACTGCATGGAATGTTCTAGGTTAATATCTGATATACAAGGCCTGAGGACTTTTTTCATCGAGGAAAAGATGGACATCCAAACCCACAATGTTATGATTCCGTGCCCAAATCATGGTCTTAAAATTTTTGTAGTAATCATTTATTGTTAGATCGAGTCATAAAATAGAGGGGGTGTATTACGACCCAATATTTTCACCTTTGATTTTAGTTTATTTATCAAAGTCCTCATTATCAAAATTGTAACAGCACAAAAATAAATAAACTAAGGCCCCGTTTGATTCCTATTTTTCTAAGAATGAGGATGAAAAATATAGCCGTTACGGGACCCAACACAAAATATAGAAAGTTAAATATGATGGCTTGATGTGATGGATAACGGTCATATTTTTCATTTTTATGGCCAAAGAATAAGAATCAAATGGGGCTAAATCTATTGCAAAATCTAAAATCGAAGGGGAAAATATGGGGTCGCAATACAACCCCTTCATTTTATGACTCGATCTAACAATACATGATTACTACAAAATTCCGAGACCATAAATTTTAATATATAATGAGATAAAGAAGTTGCAGGCCAGCATACCTGGGACAACTTGTTGTGCATTAGCACAATAGATGACACCTCACTAGCAGCTCCAACACCTCCACCAATTGCAACGCCTACATGCGATGAAGCGAGAGCTGCTGCATCATTGATTCCATCACCAACCATAGCTACAATGTTCTGATCCTCCTGAAGTCTGCTAATGAACATTTTCTTTTGATCTGGTTTGACTCCATACAACACCTGCAACCGACCATATTCTTTTAGCAAGCGAGTTTGTGTTTCTGACAGTGTACATGACGAAAGCATGTGCATGTACTATAAAAATCATCTCACCCTTTCTTTTGGAATACCAACAACAGATGCAACATATTCAGCAGCATTCTTTTTGTCCCCAGAGAGCAAGTAAGTGTTGATTCCTTGATTAGTCAAAGATTTAACAACATGCCTAGCATCTTCTCTGATCTGATCCTCGACATAAATTATACCAGCAAGAATATCATCTACCCCCACATAAACAACTGATTGATTCTTAAACTCCTCAAGTTCTTGGAATGAATTGTTTTTCACCCCATGCCTGAGTTATTCAAAAACTTTGAAGGTCAAGAACATTAAATACAAAGAGGAAAAACAATTATTTAAAAAGAAAGTTTTACTTTGATTTACTAAAAGAAAAGTTTTACTTTGATTTACTAAAAGCAAGCTTTTTCATGCTATAAATCTAAATTACATCAGAAGTTTGAACTTCACTTTTCTGCCAAAAGAAGTACGATGGGCCCCTGCAAATGGGTTGATAAATAATATATTGCCTAGTTAAACTAATAGTGGAGAAATATTTAATCTGATCTACTTAGGAACCAAAAAGAAATCCTTCATTATCTTTGAACAATATTTTTCTTCATGCAGAAGACACATATTGACCTAATGTGATATTAGACTGCTTCACAGATGTCGCTTCATGGATTCAGTTTCAGTGTTGGATTAAAATTCTTTGGAAATAATAAATAGTGAGGATAATGACATGCAATCATTTCATTTTGCAGTTTTAGAAACACCGTTAGCGTATTATGCTCTAAATCCTGCTCCATGAGAATCGTCAATTAGCCCACTTCTCTGTGCAATCACGAACATCATGAATGAGAAAATTCCAGAGTAGCACTGGTCACCAAACCTTGTATAGAGGTTTGCATGAGTAAAGATAAAAGATGAAAATAGAGTGAAAGGCAAAATGGCTTATTTTCCTTTTCATCCTCCCTTCCCGTTAACCTTGAGCCAAGTAAGCTTAATGTCACAGACCTAGTTTCATTACACCCGAACAACTAGAACCATGCAACCTTCACATTCACCAATTCTCGTCTCTCACAAGAAAACGTTAAGTCAACTTTTCAATGCTCACAAATAATTTACCCAATGAGGTAAATTATAACAATTTTGAGTAGAGGGAAGTAGGAAATATAAGGAAAACAAGCAAGTTTAGGAGAATTCTTTTGGTATATAAATGAAAGGAAAACTTTACGATCTATCTTAAGTATTCAACTCACTTCACTGCAAAATTTACAAATGAGACTATATCTCTATTTATAGGCAAAACCTTGCCAGTTGCTTTATAATCAATAGCCAAGATTAATTTTGATCCGAGGGTCCTCATTGGTTGCAAGTTGCATTAACCTACTTTGATCAAATGGTAATTCTCTATACTTTCAATGCAAATTGCATGTCACTTTCCAACCCCATGCTAGTTAGTATTAAGTGGCAAATCTCTACAATTCACATGCAAGTGGACAAACCATTTTCATAGTGGACAAATTGGACTTTACTTCCTCCTTGACATTATCTTGTAAGTAGGACAAGTGGCATAAGTAGACAAGTTGTACAAGTTAGCCCACTTGCATCCCCCAAAACATCCGGTTACAATCCATAGTATTTCTCCTCCGCAAAATGGCTGGTTTTAACGTAGGGAAACCTCATTTCTGTGCTGGGGAAGCTGCCTATGTCCACTAGCTTGTGTTCTGCCAAAAAAAGCTGCCTACGTCCCCAAGTCTGCCTGTGTCCACTGCCTAAATCTGCTTGCGACAGTTCCATCCCGCTGAAGTGCACTGCCTACATTGTTTTGGAGATGCAAGTGGGCAACCTCGCCAAGTTGTACTTGTTCACTTGTAACACTTGTACTACTTGTGCCACTTGCAAGATAATGCCAAGGAGGAAGCAAAATCTAATTTGACCATGACTTGTCCACTTGTATGTGAATTGTAAAGATTTGTCACTTGATGTCAACTAGCATGAGATGGAAAATGTTGAGAATTACCACTTGATCAAAGGATGTTAATGCAACTTGCAACCAATGAGAACCCTTGGATTAAAATTAGTCTTGTCCGTTAATACCAAGACAACTTGTAAGACTTTGCCTATAAATAGAGATATAGCCTCATTTATAAATTATATGGAGTGAAATGAGTTGAATGCTTAAGAGAGACTGTAAAGTTTTCCTTTCATACAAAGAGAATCTCCAAAACTTACTTCTTTTCCATATATTTCTTACTTCAAATCCTCGACTCAAAGTTGTTATAATTTAGCCTTATCGGTTAAATTATTTGTGAGCGTTGAAAGGCTGACTTAACGTTTTCTCGTGAAAGATGAAAATTATTAAACGTTAATGCCACACGGTTCTAGTTGTTCGAGAGTAACAAAACTAGATCCGTGGCATGTGGTATCAGCGAAAGGTTCACATGGGGTTGAACTAATTTTTCATCTCAGAGATGAGGTGACATCCGTGCAAGGTTCAAGTGGTGTGGACTATGGAGGTGGTATCAGAGCCTCATTTGTAGGTCGTTATAATGTTGGATTCTCAACAAATTGTTGATTTTGAGATGAAGCAAAGGGGAGAGTAATAGAGAGTTGAGAGAAAATTCCCGTGGATAGAATAGGAGTAAAGTGAGATAAAGTGATATATTTGTAGAGAGAATACAAGAAAGTTTGTAAATAGTTTTCGCTTATAGTTATATAAAGAAGTTTTCCCCAAAAAAATATGAGCGCTCTTTTCCTCCCAATTTCCTATCTACCATCTCTACCAAAGTTTTAATATAATTTAATCTCATTGTTAAATTATTGTGTAGGTTTTAAAGCTGACTTAATTCTATCTCGTGGGACGGGAGTTGTGGAGCATTAAGGGGCATGGTTTTAGCGTAGTTCAGGAGTGACGAAACTAGGCCTGTGACATTAAGGTCACTTGAAAAGAAAATTCAGAAGAGAAAAGAAAGCGCAATAACATTTTTTAAGAAGGTTATATAATGCTAATAATAATGATTGATGGAGGCTCACATTCAAAGATGCAAGTAACTGAACACAGAAGATAGCTAATGCAGTCTAAATGGTACACTCAAACATGAATAATTTGAAATGATATTGATAAAACGAGAGTTCAATTGCATAGAAATTTGTGGCAGTCAATCCTGAGATATTATTATCTAAAATAAGCCTCAATGAAGAAGACTTGAGACTGACAAAGGAGGCTGAGAGGAGTTTCCTTCAACATCAAATTTATTCAAAAAATTAATCAAACAAACAGTTATAGAATTTTAAAATAAATGTACCGACTATGAATCAAATGAAGTGCATCTCCTAAATAGGATCAAATTAGACATCAAGTTCCAAACAAGAATCAACATCTTAAAATACCTTTCAACCCACTCCAGCGTACCGACTGACACCTTTTTCTCATCAATGGTTGCCACCGCACCAGACCCAGGTTCCTCTGTAAATGTTCCTTCTGCCGCCTAGAACCACAATTTTTTGTAAGAAATTTTAAAATTAGTTTGGTAAAAAACTGATTAAGGAGAAACTACCAAACTGTCAACAGTACATCATACTCATAATTGATCACAGAATTGAAATTAGTTTATGCTGGTGATTGATATTCCACATGATGAGATGTCTTACAATTAAGAGAGGGAGAGATAAAGGTGACTATATACGGTCATCAATATCGAGCAATATTGAGAAACATTTTCATCTAAGAGATCAATCAAGAACTTGGCAACATGGAAGGTCTGGAAGTAGGTACATTTTCATCGTTTTCCCATCAAACTGAGTTACGTTGGCTGAAGCATTTAAATATGAAATCTTCAACTTTCCCTTTACCCCAGACGTGGATAGTTTTAGACTACAATTATATGAAAGGGTTCCATCATGCCAACATACTGTGGAAGCAATGAAGGTAATAAACAATGCCATTGAAATCTAGCAACTAGGAACTAAACACTAAACTGAGGAACAAGTCCCAAAAAAATCAAATATGAAATTTCCCCGGGGATAAGCCTATAAGATGATAGATGTTCGTGCTGTTAATATATTTTAATTTATGAACCTTTACTTATTTTGTGCATGAAATAGTGGTTAAATTAAGTTTAACCCACATTTTATCCAAGAGCATGCCACTGAAAAACCTTAACCTCAACTCTCAAAATCAATGTTCTAGAAAGTGAAAAGCATAGCTACACGGCAACGCTGAGCTTCAAGCTTTGACGAGCTTAAGTTTGCCTAGGCGTAAAAAAGTTAAAGGGTGGCTAGCGGTAAAGCCAAACTTCCCGCCTAGGTGTCTTTTTTAGAACAGTGTTCACATAAATAGATACTTCATATTTAGTACAAGCACAACCATGAAGCTATCTAAAGCACACTGGTTGTTAAATTATCATCACTGTACAATTAGAAGATAATGCAATTTACAAAAGGAGCTGAGTTTTTGTCAAGGAGGTAAGTTATCCCCCGAATAAACAGAAGCTACCCAAAATGCAAAGCAAAATAGAAAAGAGTAAAATATTTCTACTGTGCAACATAATTCCCAATGCAAATATGAACACTGCAATTTTAAATAGCACTATTTAACAAACAAATTATCTTTCCAAGCGGGCATCCATGAAGGGAAAAAAATACCTTCACATTTGCACAGTTCAAAGCCTGCGCTGCCTCCACAATCGCCTTTCCAATTGGATGAATTGTATTTGATTCAACTCCAGCAGCTAACGTCAAAATATCCACTTCAGACCAATTACGAGCTGAAGCTAAATCTGGTCTGCATTAAAACCTTGTTTATTATCCTTTTTAATGCAAAACATTTTTGCACCAATTGGAAATGGAAATAATTAAAAGTGAAGCTCTGCTGGCGCATAGAAATGCATTTTCAGATATCATATTTCCGTGGATATTATATATAATCCGCATGTGGTGCATTTGGTGATCAACATATCAGCAAAAATTCAAACACATATAATACCAGTATTCATATAACCTGAAGAGTTAATACCACAAAAAAGAATAGAAAGAGAGCGAATATGGGCAAAAGACAGCAGAAACATGCATATGTATTTAATCACCCTTTTATTCTTTGACAAAGCAAGGTATAATGTGTACAATTATAGGAACAGCCATTCTGATTGATTCGCGAGTTTAAACAAGATATGAATATGAAAGACCTTAAATAATAACTATAATAGCATTCTCAAGTTTGTAAACAAATTTCCCAATATCAAGAATCCATATTACAGTCAAAACCCAGTATAATAATATTGACTTTCTCAAGATATTTAACTTATATCAGAAAAAACACACAAAACCTAAAAAAATATAACATGACCAAATAGAGAGTCATGTACTAAACTGTGGATCTGTATCTGCTTGGTGACCCTGTGTCATTACTTTGGTCACACTAGGTCTGCCAATGGTTAATGTTCCTGTTTTGTCAAAGACAACTGTGTTCACCATCGAGAAATTTTCCAATATACTTCCACCACGCAAAAGCAGCCCTCTTGTAGCACCAAGTGAAGTTCCAACCTAAAATTTAGAAATTTGTTGTAATTTGGTTGGATATTATAATTAAGATTCTATATAAACCATGTTAAGCATTCGGATGAATCTAAATTTCATTTTAAAATAATTACCAGTACAGCTGTTGGTGTTGCTAGCCCAAGTGCACATGGACATGCTATAACCTGAAACTCAAAAACAACGACCAGTTACTGTTAAGTTGAAAGTGAAGATGAGCAGACATCAAAAGGCACATTGACGACCTAGCAAATAGCAGATTCAGAAAGAAACAACCAGGGCTGGGGAAGAGGAGATTAGATAGCTAGAGGAAACGGGGGCCTTCTTGTTAGTAAGAATAAGGTTATAGTCAAATCTTAGGATTAGATTTGTTACAGGAATCTCTTCAAAGAAGGTGCCAAAGTAAATGACGATTTATGAATTGCAATTATACCAGAACGCTACATGAAAGTTGCAATGCCAATGAAAGAGAAGTCCCTTGATGAAGAGCAGCTGGCAAAATTCGCGTACCAAAAAGATTCCAGAACATAAATGTGGCTGCAGAGAGCGCCATAACACCATAAGTGAAGTGTCCAGCAACCTAAACAAAAACATGCCGGACATTGAGAAGTAGGGGATAAAGGAGGCAGACTACTCACTTAAATTGAATCTCGAACAACGTTAATCAGAGTACAGAAATAATAGCACATTTTTGAAAGTATAATGATAGCAATTAGCAACAGTAATTCAGTAATTAAGTTTATCAAAAACATTATATTAGAGAACAGGGACAATGAATAATAGGTAATTCTCTTAAGTAAAGATTTAAATCCAGGAATTAGGTAGTCTATCTACCAGGTGCATTTACAGTTGGTAACTGTTAACTACCTTTGACAATTTGTATTTAATAACTTATAATAGGACTGGTTCATCTGTGGTTTTGACAGTAAATATCCCAATTGTTTAGGAACAAAAGTTATGAAATTGCAAAATCGTACATATTACATCATAGAAAACCCTATAGCACATGTTAAACTCAGATAAACATTATCTTGTACTTATATGGGAGCAGCTTTATGGATTGGATTCTTCACTATTCTCTCAAGGCTTTATGTCCAAAGCTAAACCAAAAAAGACTAAAATCCTTTATAATTAAATCATTCGATATGATTTTAGGTTGACACCATCTAGGTGTGTGCTGAAAGATTGAGACACTACACACAAGTTACACACAATGAACCTTGTCAGCCAACCGTTGTACAGGAGCTTCTCTAGTCTGTGCTTCTTCTACCAACCGAACAATGTCCCCAATGGCAGTCTCACCACCTTGTCTTTGAACCTCAACAGTAATTTTTCCATTTAGGTTTATACTTCCAGCTGCGACTTCTGCCTGGTCAAGAAATGCCATCCAATGTATAGTAAGAAGGGATGTATATGATGGGAAAATCCAATCACAAAGAAAGAGTATGTTCATATAACTACCCCTGGTAATTTAGTTACAGGTAGAGGCTCCCCAGTGAAACTTGACTCATCAACAGTGCTTCTGCCTGCTCTGACTATCCCATCAGCCGGAATACGATCCTAAAGGATGAGAAGAGCATGAGTAGAAGAAAAAATAAGCAAGTTAGAAAAATTAATGCAGAAGGTTTGGCAAGTGCCATGTTATAACATTCTCAACAACATTTGAACTACAGTTAGGGGCAAAGAACCAATTGATAACGTCCATACGATAAAAAGTAAGATGAGCTAAAGAATATTGACAGTATAATTCCTATTCATGATTCCATGAGCTATACATGAGAAATCAGTCAAAGTTATAACGAATTATGAATGTAAAGAAAGCTATACTTACTCCAGGCAGTACAACGATTTGATCTCCCACAGAAAGACTGCTAGAAGGAACTTCAACGGTTGAGTCCGATTCTCCTGCACCACCATTAGCCAGGAGACGAGCTTTAGCAGGCAACATACTTAGAAGGCCTGTCATATCACTGGTTGCTTTTATCTTGGCTCTCTGTTCAAGATTTCTCCCAAGCAAGACAAATGCTATCAGCATAACTGGTTCCTCAAAGAAAGTTTTCCATCCCTGTGTGAACAGAAACTTCATTTAACAGAAATGCAGGTGCCTAACTCAACCACTCATATATGATATGCTAGGAAGCACAAACAAGGACACGAGTGTCTAACATGACACAAACTGGTGAATAACATTTAGTTTTTAAGAAAAGTACCGAAACGACGTGTCGCATCATGCAGATTAAAATATTAATTTTTTATAATGTAAAAAATTGATTTTCTTAATCAACGTCTCAACAATGTACCTCCTACGTGTTGGCAACGTGTCCAACCATACAAAATCAAGAAATAATTCAAATATGCCACCTGGGATGTTCAACACGCGTCGACGACGTGTTGGTATATATCCTAGCGTGTCAGCGACTTGTTCAACTTACATAACGAAAAAATAATTTGAACACGCCACTTGGTGTATCCAACATGTGGGTGCCGTGTGGATGTCCAGTGACAATGTGTCGACGATGTGTCTAACTGTATAAAATAAAATAAAAAATATTTGGACAAGCCTCTTGGCGTTTTCAACACGTGTATGACACCAACTCGCCGGTCCTGGGATGGGGTCGGTGCATCCTAGATGATATAGATTAGAGGGAAACCTCCTAAAAGACATCATCATCGAGGATGAAACAAAATAAAGCATAATAGCCTAGCAAAAAATCGATCAGCATTGGGCTGAAAGGTAAAAAAATTTCAATTGAATCCCCAACAAAATTTAGGATATTTATATGCAACACAAATAGCAAATCCGTAATTTTTGCAACCAAAAAAAATAAAAGTTATAGCACAATGAAAGATTAGGATGCGATGTGAAAAAATCAAAAAGCGTCCATGAAATGAGATGGAAAAAGAGAATCCGGTAGAGTACTGGATAAGGGCACAAAGACTCATACAAGAACATGAGACAACAAAATTTTCGTCCACACAGATTGGAATGATACTTCAATTTCTGCTGCCAGGCCTGTTAATGGTGGATATATGTGAAATTGTTTATTTAAATAAATTGCATCAACTATTTAACTACATATAATTTCCCCTTTGGATTATTATTTTTGATTCTTTGGTAGGGAGGTGGAGGTGAAGGTTAATGTTGTCAATCTTCGTTTCAATGAAGCTGCAGGCAACTGCACAGGACTTAAACATGAATATAAGGTACAAGACTCTCAGCATGACTTGTCCTGTCTGGCTGTCTCCTTTGACATTTACTTGCAGCACAGGAAATGGTTTTATTTTTCGCATAAATTAGCTTGTAATCATGTATATACACTGTCATATCATTATATCCTTTTAATGGAATGTGACAACTGGAGTAGATGTCGTGATGCATTAAAAAAGCAAAGATGCAAGACCATCTTGTTCCTATCAGTTTAATCGTTGCAAAATGTTTCGACTGCGTGGTTGATGGGATTATTTACCTTCATCTATAAAGCACGGTGCACTATTCTGAGGAAATAGCAAAGACATATATATGAAGTTATAAGGTTTGTTGGCATCAATTTAGCACAATAAGAATGAAGTTGTGGGTTTCAAAATCCATTCATTTCTATTTAGAAACCTATGTAGGAGGATTGAATAACAAATTACCAGTTTTGGTATAAAAGCAGCGAGGGAGCTGACAGCAAAGGATGACAAAGCCCCAAGACCAACCAATGTATTCATGTTTGGAGCTCCTCTAACAAGACTTCTCAGGCCATCAACAAGCAGTTGGCGACCAGGGCCAAGCAATGTAAATAGACACAAAGACAAATGAAATCCTGTGGAATGCAATGCATGGATCCATGGTGCCTTGGTTCCAAAGAAGTAAGTGAGATGGCCAAAGATGCATACAGCACATAAAGCCCAAGAAACAGCTAGCCCACGACCTGTTGAATCGACAAGTTTTCAATCATGGCATATTGGCCTCAAACGCACGAACTAGAAATAAATTCTAATCACAAATATTGCAACTCTCAAATATTTGAACTTTTACAGACTAGATCTAGAAAAATTAACAGAAAAATACTGTTTTCTTAATTAGGCTAATAATTCTTTCATACTTTTGAGTAGTTTAAATATGAAATAAAGTCAACTCCAAACAACCATATCGTCAAATTCCTATCAATTGTCATTTAAGACATGTCAGGATTTCTATAAAAAAAAATGTCATTAACATAGACTTTTATAGTCAATAATGTAGGGGCAAGAAAGGAGTCTACCACTCTTTCTTAACAGAGCATGCTTTTCATTTATCTTCTTCTCAAACGTCTCATAGATGTTCACCCTTCTTGAATCTGCAAACAAGGACAATAAGTCATGCTTACTAAGATCATAAGACACACAAGTAAGCATTGAAATCTACTTGAAATCTTTCAAAAAAAGCTATCTTTTGCAGTTTATCTCTTCATATTGATCTAGTGGATTTTTGTTTTCAGCCTTGTTAAAATTAACGCAGATGAATCATGATAAGTTCAATGAATAGATAATATACATCTTGTATTGATTACTATATTCTAGAGAATTCAGAAGTAGACACTGTTTATGTTGCAATGTGAATGTAGCAGGAACAAGTGTAATTGTCCATTTATAAATATAAATGAATTCAGAATTTCAACATACTGTACATCCAACGTGATACAAGGTTTAGAAAGAGGAGTGGTATGAAGTAAATCAAATGTTTCATCTTGGTGAAGGAAATACAGAAACTTAGGGTGCGTTTGGTTTGCTATTTTCAAGCCATTTTCAGTTTTCAATTTTGCAAAACACTGAAAACGTGTTTGGTTTGGTATTTGAAAATACATTTTCGAAAACAAGGATAATTTATAAAATAAAATGCATTTTTGAAGTTTTAAGTGTTTTCTGTGAAAATTCTGAAAATACTCAAAAAAAAAAAACATTTAAATAAAATTTTAACAAATAAAATTATAAAAATCTAAAATTCAAGAAAGTAAGTTCAAAAAATAAAATTGATAAATTCTTAAAAAATAAAATCTAAAATATTAAAAAAATAAAATTCTAAAAAACTAAAATTAAAATTCAAAAAATATATATAAAAAATTCTAGAAAAATAAAAAAATTAACTAGTAAAAATATTTAAATGAACACGGACAAAAATATATTAATCCACGTCATTAATTTTTACTTTCAATTTTTATAGTAAAAAATTAATTGATTATTTTTTTAAAATTTTTTAAAGAAGAAATATTATAAGATTCGCCAACATTAAAATACATATAATACTTGATAATATACTAAAACAAATTTATTCTATTGTTACTAGATAAATAAAATGTCATAAAACAATTTTTCAAAATTTCAAACCTCGCGTGTTTTCTTATTTTTAGTTTTGAGAGAGAATTTTTCAACATGACAAACCAACGCGTTTTTAAAAATCTTAAAACAGATCGTCAGAAACAAATATTGTTAGCTAAGCTTGTTGTGTATCACATACATTACAAATTAATTAGAGATTGGCAGATTAATGAACCTCAGATATTCTTTATGTTTCAAAATAGAAGAATCGACATGGGAAGTTTCATCTAGAGAAGGTTGAAATTAGACAGCTGGAGGAAATACCATCTGCCATTTCTCGACAGCTAATATATTAATCCTTACAGAGAATGCAACCCCACAATAACTCGTTCCTAATAATGAACTTCCTCAACCCATATAAAAGTAAACTATTAAATTGCATGGGGTTTCTGGTGATAGATGTACCTGCCTTCAACAAAATCCACCTCTAGTGGCCAAGGAGACACCTATTTATGGAGAAGTGTTTCATTAGCTATGATTTTAACAAGGTTTTTTTTTTTTTTTTTTTTTTGTGTAAAAAAATGGTGAAATGGAGACAAAAGATACTCTCTGAATTAGTCTACGTATATGCCAATATAGCAGTGACATACCATGAAGGAGAATGGTTGTTGTTACAAGAATCCGTTGCATCCTATGATGGACTATCCCCCTTCAAAGGCTTCCTGATCTGCCAACCCATGAACTATGCATAAGTTAAATTAAATACTACATGTACTATAGTGTCTAGCCTAATCTGCAAATTAGACAAGCTTGGTGAACTTAGGATCCGTTTGATTGCAAGAATGAAATTTGGGTGGAAAAAACGAATTGCAGGAATTGAATTGTCTAAACTTGTTTTACTTAGAATTGTTAATTAAGGCCCTGTTTGGAAAGTATTTTTCATTCCAAAAAATTGATTTTTTTTATCTTTATTTTACTATTCTAGCCTTAATTTTTGACTTCTCTCACAGGTGGCCCCCACTTTTCTCATAACGGTCAAAAAATCAATTCTCAAAATTCCTACCAAACAAGCCCTAAATGTGTTTGATTGGTATAATTTTCCACCTGAAAATTGTTGAAATTTTGGATCTTTTGGTATTCGGGGTAAAATTTGTTACAGTTGTGAATAGAATTTATTTCCATTACCAAAAAATAAAAAATAAATAAATAAACAAAAAAGGGAACCTAGAAAAGCCAATTCCCACCAAAACCATGGGAATTGGTTTTCCACCAATTCATGGAAAAGAAGTGACATGGAAGAGGGGGGGGGGGGGGGGGGGGGGGAAGAGGGGTGAATTCCATGGAAAATTCTCCCAATCAAACAACAAAAAGGTGGGGGGGAAATGCCATTTTCCATATCAAACAGGCCTTAGTAACAATAGAGGCCAAGTAATGTTTCCTTTTGGTAAACAAAGGGAGCCTTCTCCATTTACATTTCTCTTTCATGACGCTAAGAAGATGAAGTCGTGATAAAGAATTAAGAATGGACGTTTTAACTTTACAATTCATATCCACATATATATATATATATGGTAGATTTTCGGGTAAAATATATAAACCCAACATCAATCTCATGCTTATTGACCCCATTACTTGTGGGCCTATATCCATATCAAAATCAACTTCTCCCCCCCACCACCACAAGAATTTCTTGATTTATTTCTTCCATGGATTTAAAAAAGCCAATGATATATAAGTGAGAGTAATTTTTGAATTTATATTAATCTTCATAATATCAAGAAACTTCTTGAAATTAGAGCTGATTACTGACCTCTCTAACAAGTTGGAACAACAAAAACTATTCAATTTTTTGGGAAGTCTTCTAGTAGAGGTTAATGTTGGATAGAATGAAATGGCAAAAAAAGAACTAATGCTGTTACCCAAGTTAATTAGGAATTAGGCTTCATTTGTTGTGGAACATCTTCCTTTACTTATTTAGGTCCATGCTAAGGATGGTTTGAACCTCCTCATAAATACTGTTGATACAGTTCAAAACATATCAGAATATGTTATCTTCTCTCAGACTGGATAATCATAATCACTACGTTGGTTTGGCTCCTTATCATCTAAAATGACCCTATCAAATATTTTCCCTGTAGGATACGATTGTTTATTTTGTTTTATTTTAAAATTTTAAATTGTTACCACCTATATTAGATTAATGGTCTCACTTACAGTCTAAAATGACAATATCAAATACTTTCCCCATAGGATACCATCTGTTTATTATGTTTTAACTTACAATTTTAATCCTTATTACCTATATTATACCAAGGGTCCACTTGAGAGTCTTGGGTAAAGTTATGGTGTTTTTAAAGTAACGGTTTTGGACGTTTATTAGTGGTCCTGTTTTGGGTGATTTCTAGTAGTGGATTTTAGAAGAGTCTTACCTATATGTCCATGTATGAAAAAAAAAAAAAAAGTATGTATAAACGATATGGAGTAAATGTGTACTTCACTTAGTGAAATTTTCAATTTATATTTTCTTGTATGGTTATTTTCTTTTTCTTTTTATTTTTCCTTTTTTTTTTTTTACTTATAACATTTTACCTATAAGTAATGTTTTATATATAACTCTCCTTTACGTCATTATGGTATTATCTAAAACAGAGAATGGTAAGACATCATCGTAAAGAGTACATAAATTGAACCGTCAACTCATCATTGGTCATATCATGATGATAATGAAAGCAACAAGGACAAGAATTGAGAAATGTAAGGTGAAAAACAAATTGCAGAACAAATAAATTGTTAAAATCATAAATCAAATGAGCGCTGACCTCGAAGATTAGATGTGAATCCACAATTAGTCAAATGATTTGCAAGAGCCTCTCCCAAGTCCTTCTGCCAGCTGGGTGTAACCTTGGCTTCAGATGCCGGCCATACGATTGCAGTTTCAGTAGTGAGATTCACGCTAGCAGAAAAAACCTGTGGCTGTTCATAAATTTAACCTTCTCGTGAGTGAACCACAAATTGCAAACTATAGAGTTTGTCCATATTATAAAAATTGCCCTTTTGGCAGGTTAACAATGTTCCATTTAAAGGCTTTCTTTCTCCGAGAAAGCACTCAAATCCATGATGTATTTACCACAATTATGTAAACATCTTTAGAATCATTTTTCACGGAAAAACTACTATACTTTTTTGCTAAATAGACAGATTGATTTGCATAGCAACTGTATTATTTTGAGCCGGGTCCAAGAGCAATGCACCATGCTCTATTTGGCTTTGGTCATCCACACATTTATTCCTCCCACTAAAATTCGTTACCTATTTTCCTTTTTGCTCTATAAAATAATATTTTGCACAACAAATTCTTTTAACCAAATGGTATAAAGCCACAAACACATATGGACGAGACAGCATAACACATTGTCCTTTTGGTAGGTTAATAATGTTCCATTTAAAGGCTTTCTTTCTCCAAGAAAGCATTCAATTCCATAATGTAGTTACCACAATTACATAAACATCTTCAGAAACATTTTTTTTATGAAAAACTACAATACTTTTTGCTAAGTAGATAGATTGATTTGTATAGCGCCTAAATTATGTTGAGCCGGGTCCACAAGCAATACATCATGCTCTATTTGGCCTTGGTCATCAACCCCTTTATCCCTCCCCTTTATCTCTTTTCCTTTTTGCTCTACAAAATAATATTTGCCCAATCTTTTAACCAAATGGTATAAAACGATAAACACGTGCGGATGAGACAGACAAAGCTTAAACTCCAATTTCCCATGAAAAACTAGCAAAAAGGATCTCTTTGCAAGAGAAAGTTTCGTCCAAAAGAAATTCACTAAAAGGCCACTAAAATTGGATAATGAAAAGTTATTTTGTCCTCCCAAAGCTCAACCATGACGAAACATAAATCAAGAGGACATACGTGGATGATTCCAGTAAATGACGCACCACAAAATTTAAACAGCTATTTAAAGCAAATTCAACTCAATCTCAATCACTTACTTGACTTTCCAAAATTCTCTTCACACTCGCGGCACAACCTCCACATGTCATCCCCTGCGACATTAGAAAAAAAAAATTCCTATGATAGATTTCATAAATAAAACAAATAATTATCAGCAAAGGATATATAAAGTATAATTCCTTACATTCAGGAAAAAAAATGTCATTTCTCGGGTAATTTTTGGATTAGCAGTTAAAAAAAACAACTCTTTTAGAATAAAATCACTAAACAGAACCTTTAAACCAAGGGAAAAAGAAAGAAAAAATAGTCTGAGATGGCTTACACCAACATCAAGAATGATAACGTCAGAGCTAGAAGCAGAAGCCTCCCCAGCTCCAACCACCACGGAACGCGGCTTTGACTCTCCACCCTCAGCCGCTCCATCGCCTCCGCCGCCTCGACCACCTCCATTTCCATGAATCCCACCAAAACCACCTCCGTCGGACGCAAACGAGGCAGCTGAACTGCCAATGCACTGCAATCGGGACCTGCATAGATCCACCGAATCCAGACCCCTAACCAAAGAACACGATCCGAGCCGGTTGAAGTCTCTGTCAAGTAGACATCGCCTGAGTTTGAGGCGAGCGAGTGCACTAGGTCGAGTCGTGCAGAAGCAGCGGTAGAAATTGGTAAAGAGAGTGGTGGAATGGGAATTAAGAGACTTGGACAGGGACAAAATAGACATTGTGGAGCTCACCGAGAGTAACGTCGACTCCATTGCTACGGAGTCCTCTTTGCAGTTTCTCTCTCTATAGTTGAGTCTCTCTCTATGTAGCTGAGAGCGAGGATAATTAAAAACGTTTTTTATTGCTCATTCAGTAAAACACGTGCATCTATCCTTTCCCAATGCTACAAATTTTATTTTATTCTTTTTTGATACTCATGTTACATGCTACTCCATTTTAGGTTACCTCTAAAGGATCGTGCTTCACGTACAGAGGGCAATTACAGAGATCGACCAGGACAAACAGAAATTTATTTTTTTTAATACAGGTTGATGGGACTGACTGTAGCTACAGTGAGGGGGCATGTAGAACAGTGCCTTGTACGTAGGGCATTGTTCCTAAATTTATTGCATGTTCTTTACACATTTTTTCTGCCTAAAAATGAGTTTTTTTTTTTTTTTACTGTTGGAAGCCTACAATTCCCCCAAATGTGAGTGGTCAGTACAAAAAAAGTGCTAGGTAGGGCCAACAACAGTCTAATTTTTTCTAAAAATGATAAGAGAGCTGCTATAGTGATAGGCTCAAGTGACGGGGTGAAGAAAAGAAGGAAAAAATTTTGATTTGTATATAATATTATTTTAATAAAAAATGCGTTGTTAAAAATGAGTACCGCATAAAAAATAACAATCATGCTACTTTTACAATGAATTTGACAATGTGTGAATTGACAGACATCATGTCCACCGATTTGAAAAACTGTTTTTGAATTCAATGGTTACGATCTTTACATTTTACACACTGTAAAACTCATTGTGCAAATTCATTTTACAAATAGATTAATTCAAAAAATAATATAAAAGAATGGGGTTCAAATAGGGGCTTAAGTAAAATGGATTATAAATATTGATTTTTTTTTAAATGTAATGTTAAAAAAAAAAGTGAGTTATGTATAAAATATTTTATTGTGTGAATATGTATTTATAAATGATTATATAGGCCCTATTTGACCTACATTATTTTAAAAAATATATTCTTAAATAGTGATTTGATATCATTTTAACCACATAATCTTTAATAAAATAATATTATACGCAAATTCAAAACCTTTCTTCATTTTTTTTAACCACATACTTCCATCAATACACTATTAAAAATGTATTTTTATAAAAATAATGTGGCTCAAATAAAGGCATTAAAAAATTATTTCGAAATAGTGATTATCAAATGGAGGCTAAATTTTAATTTCAATCACATTTTCAAAATAATTAATCCATTTCAATGATTATAGTCCATTATTATAAGAATAAGGCCTTGCGAAATTGAATAATTGTTTGAAAAAAAAAATCTAGGGCCCGTTTGGTAGGAATTTTGAGAATTGATTTTTTGACCGTTAGAAGAAAAGTGGGGTCCACATGTAAGAGAAGAAGTCAAAAATTACGGCTTGAATAATAAAATAACGGTCAAAAAATCAATTTTTTGAGGCAAAAAATCCCTAATTGTTGCAACGTATACTTACTAATACCTTACAACACTTGATTGCAACCTTCTGTAAACTTAGTCCCTGTTTGAAGGACATTACTTTCTCATTTTTCGAAGAAATTCAATCGTTATTGGATCCCACACATCCGTTATTTTTAACTTGCGTCTCATCAAGTCTTGAAAGACTGTGCACCAACGATCAAAAAAGTTATTTTTATGAGGAAATAATGCCCCTCAAATATGGACTTAGTAATATCTTCCGCCTACATTGAATGAAAAATGAGTTATAATGCAAACTTAGCTTGATGAATTATTGTTGATCTATTTGGAGTAAATAACCCATATGGTCATTGAACTTTTCAAAAAGTTTTCACCGAGTCATTGAATTTTATAAATCACTTAAATCATTGCTGAACTTTGTAAAAAGTTTTCATGGGATCACTGAAGTTTAAAATTATCTCATTCATCACTGAACTTTACAAAAACTTTCCCAGCGGTGACCCCTGGGAAAGTTTTTGTAAAGTTCGGTGACTATGTAGAAATCTTTTAACAAGTTTAGTAATGAATTGAGTGATTTTTTAAGTTCAGTGACTTGTATAAGCCTTTTGCAAAATTCAGTGATAACTTTGATGATTTTTAAAGTTCAGTAACTCGATGAAAACTTTTTCAAAATTCAATGACCATTTAAATTATTAACCCTATTTGAATATTATAGTCATGGTATTTAGAAAACATGTTTTATGTGTGTTATTATTTGACTGTAGAAAGGAATTTCAGAGCAATTGGTCTCTAATATATACCAATATTGTGTTTTTGGTCCCCAAAACTAAACTTGGCACTAACGTTTCTATCAGATTTGAGGTCATGATTAATTGAAGTCTTACAAAGAAAACTACTAGTTTTTGAAATCTAAACCTTTATTTAATGGCCATAATTATGGGGAAAAAAAACTGATGTTACTAATTTGATCATCATATTTTTTATTTAATTGAGCTATTATTTTTTAACTACAAATATTAGAGCTCTAGCTGTACAATTCATATTTGAATTTGTCATTTTATTTAATAATATTTATACTATTCTAAGGTACTAAATATGCCTCCTCCTGGCCCCATTATTTTTGGAATAGTATTTTTGGTAGAATGTGTAATTAAAAAAGAAGAAAACGTTTTTTTTTATGTGTAATATTATTTTATTGAAAAATAGATGGTTAAAAAGAAGATAAAGAAAAATTTATTATAAATTTAATGGGGCTCAAACGGCAGCTATATCATCATGGTTGTGTCAATTAAGCTTGTGAGTAGGAAATTTTTTTGAATTTATTGCGCTTGAGGCGTATGTAATTGTTATTTATGTGAAAATCTTGAATAATAATTAAGATAAATAAATAGCAATTTGACTTATATAATTTTTCATATTCAATGAATCATATTTTATTAGTGAAGGGATTAAAATTAGATTTTTAGAAAATTTTGAAAAAATTGATGAAATATGTGATTAAAAAGTTGTGAATTCATAAAATGTGTGATTAAAATTAATTATTGACTTTGACTTATATTAAAATTTTAAATTTAATTTCTACCCAATAGGGACTATACTTTTATTCAACATAAAAAATAATAAAAATTAATTTGCTAATGTGAAGAATGCAGTTAGAGCTCTTATATTTGTGGTTAATAAACTAATAATTCAATCAAATTAAAGTATTTGATGATCAAATTCGTAAGAGGAGGTAGTTTTTCTTTTTAATTTTTCAAAATGATAATCAATTGATAAAGATTCAAAATTTAAATAGTACAATTACTATAAAATTAATAATATTTTGTTTAATGCATCCATTAATGAATTATGTGCTTAAATTTAATCCATTTCATAATAAACCATAAATTATGCAAAAGATTTTCTAGGCATATTATTAATTGGGGAATTTACATAAATGTCACTAAAATTGGAAATGCATAAAAAAAATCTCATTTGCACATATTTCTTCCAAAAATGTCACTTTTTATGCAAAATGTCCACTTTACCCTTTATGACACCTTTTTAGGAACAATAAATGCTTAATTTGAATGAATTAATGATCTGATGTGATGATTTGTTTTATATATTTTAAACATTTAAGGTATAATTATTATATTGTATAATATGAATTTTTGTTAAAAAAATAGATGAAAAGTTAAAAAAACACACACACACAAACTCCACATTTTTCATCATCTTCATTACATCATCAACAAGTGAAAGTTATTGATCAATCTCAAAGGTGAGCACTAGAAATTATATATTTTTTTTCATCTCATAATTTACTGCTTTAGATGTTTAAGACAACATAGTTATATTTAATTGAATGTTTTGAATCTCTTATTCATTAATGTGTTTTATTTTTGATATATTTTTCAAATGGGAAAAATACCAACATCCTCTATAAAAATGTGAAAAAATTCCATATTTAATGAAACATTGAGTCATTCATTATTTATTTGTGGGAAGATATTGTGATGTTGTAGTTAAAAATTAATTATCACCATTAATGTTTTCAATAATTTCTTTCAAATAACTAAATACATGGTTTTCAAGCTTCCTCGAAATTTATAGTAGTTTAACTGTCGAATAGTGTCGTCGAAACCATCCGGTTAGATATTTGAACTATCGAACTCAACATTTACTCACCGTCGGGATAGACAATTTCACTCTCGACTTTGACACTTGAAAACTGTTGAAACCCTTTATTTTTCTTTTTGCTATTACGTGGATCTAAATATTCGAAAACTCCAATTTGATGGTATTAAATGTCGACATATGGAATGTGCAAGATTCTCACATTTGCAATCCAAACATTTCATGTATGAGTCATTAATTGAAATTTATCGTGTCGCATAGGGAAAAATCTGTTCAACCTCCAATGTAATACAAGTTTTTTAAACAACCGGTCAATGTCGTTGTTGACGTTGTATGTCGAATGTTCTCCCTACTGTGTAGCTTTGTTGTCATTATCGTTTGCGGCCATTATTGCTCCTTATGTTGTCATTATCGAACTTTACTACTGTTGAAAATAATTCAATCACATCATTACAAAACTGCTATCACAATCCACTAAAAAAATCTAATTTTAATCCCCACAAAACACATTATTTGTAAGTTGTAAATAGTGGACTCAATTGACGCATGAATGATAAACAGCACTAATGTTAAATCGTATTACTATGGAGAAAATGAGGAAGACAATTAAAAAATTGGATTGAATTATTTACTACATTATTAGAGGTGCAGTACTTTTTGTACTTTAAAAAAAATTAACAATTTAACGTTTTCATTATATTTGTTATTTTTTATCATGTTTATAAACTAATGATTTAATTGGAGCGTACATATTTTACATAAAGGTATTTTCAACTTACGGTATGCCCCAACACATTCTCAACTTACATTACCATCTTCAACTTACATCGTCATTATTATTCCACATCATTCGCAGACAAGCAAATATATGTTCAACTTCACAAGTAAAACATCAATTCATAGACAACATATTACATGACAGCCCGATAGTTCATCTGTCATTCCCGACAAATTTTTTCTATCATCCTCGACACTTGGTCATGACAATTTGTATGAATAATTTTCGACAGTTCAT